CATCTGTTTGGCACAAAGCCTGGATCAAGGACAGTGCAGAACACTAATAACAGGCTTTGCATACATTATTTTCACGTTGATATATTAACGAATTTTTTTAATTGTGTTATGCAACCAATTGCAAGTCACATAGCTAATAATATAAAATTACTACTAAATGATAAGGAATATGTTGATTATTTTTTTTACGATATTAAAAAAATTGACTTTGATACTATGTACAAGCGAAGTATAAGGCTCTAGAAAAATTTCATAATAATAATTATTTCAGTAAAATTGCTTTATTTTTTTATTTTATTTATATTATTATTATTGTATTTTTTTTTTTGTTTTACATCATATATTTTTATTAACTAAATTTTTAAAACTTAAAAGCTTACTATAATATAAACTGTGATATTAATACAAAAGTACTTCATTTTTAATATAAATGGAATACTAAGAAACAAAAAAGAAAAGTATATCCTTTTCATATAATATTCTGTACTCAGTGCTTTATGTAAAAATTTTTGTTTAACAATGCTAATGAAATGAGAAGTTAGACTTGTTATTAAGCATAGCTTTTGACCTCAAAGCAATCCGTTTATAAAATATTATTCATTGAAATTTGAATAGCATACTAAATGTTGTTTGTTTTATAAATTCTTGTTATAGTAGTTATTGTTTTGAATCACATTTCTATTCTTGCCATATTTTAATTGAACTATTATTTTTTTATAAATTCTAAAGATTTAAATAATTGAAATAATGTTAATGATCTTTTATGTATGTATTAATAAGTATTAACATCATATAATTGTAATGGGATTTAAAAGTTAAAAATTTAAATGTTCATACCCCATAATATATTGAAAAAATATAAAAAATATTATTTGTCATAAATTATTAATGCAGCAATTAAAAATAACCTATTTTTCATATTGTTAGTTCCATCATCATTGGTGACTATTTGTAATATTTGCAAATTGAACAAAAGTGTTTTAAAATTGTTAAATTTTTTAATTACGAATAGGAAATTTTATTAACAAGTTTTACTTTTTATTTCAAAAACTATATAAAAAAACCTTGCTCTGAATTTCAATGTATTCAAAATGCGATATGTATTGTATAGTTAACAAAAATCTTGTCTACCATGTTTAATTTTAAAATTTTAACAATTTAAAGATGTTTTTTGATTTTATATTTCATGTTGGCAGCCAAACAGGCATAGACAGAATCTTTCAAGATGAATTCTTTGAGTTTTCAAAAGATAAAAAAAAGCAATTGATTAATAATCAAGAGTTCATTGTGTATATAACTAATATGATTCGTCCAAAAGGTAAAAATGTGAAGATGAAACTATCAATAATAAGTATCCAATGGTGGAATTAGATATTAACAACTATTCTTATAAGACCAATAAAAATATTGAGTTTTCAGATGGTGTGTTGATTATTCAAGGAGATTCAGCGAATGATTATAGCACTTAATATACCATTAATATAGCTAAAGAATTGAAAAAGAAATTAAAAATTGTGAATGTATTCACAAGTAATTTAGACAAGGTAGTAAAATAGATTGTTAATAATAATATATGCTCATTAAATATCTCTTGAGCGAGGAAAAGTAATTTGTTAGTAGTAAATCTCCAAGTAAAATAGTTTGCAAAATCTTTTTGAACAATATTCATGATGAAATTCTTCAAAATAGTGGATTTCTGATTTATAATTCAGTCAGAAAGTTTTATACTCTCAGTTTGGAAGGTTCTTTTTTATATTTTACTGCACAGGAAATTTTTCAAAAAATGCATAAGAAATGTGCTAATGTTGAAATAGTCCTTTTAAAGAAAAAAAGCAAATTAATTAAAATTCTACCAATACTAAGATATGTATGATAATGTCTGTTAGTTCTCAGTTAAGTAAACAGAGTTGATATATTCAGAAAATTATTTATTTAAAAGGGTTAAAGTTAAATTAAAAATTGAGACACCTGTGAGTGAGTAGTGATTTTGGCTAAGCATAATTTTTCGGCTATGACTAAGTTAATAAATTTTATCGGCTTAGTCAGCTTGGTCGAACCTGCAGTACTATTTAATTTTGTTCTTTGATCTGGAATTTTTCAGAATTTATAAAAGTTTTGGTTCATATTTTAGGTTCATTCATTTTCTATATCGGAAATTTTCGTAATGACATATCTTGACTATATATACCAAATCGATCAGCTGATTTTAAAAAAATCGACCGACTAAGCTGATAATTTTCTTTAGCTGATTTTTTTCACTTTTGGCCAAAATTACTATCTGTGAGGTATGCATTACTCTCAGTACAAAATGATATTTCAGGAATAGAAGAATTGTATAGTCACAAATTGGTAGGTAATTGTTACTACCATATTTTTGCTCAGGGTGTAATTTCAAATTTTGGCCCAAATTAAGCTTAATTTGGGCATTATTCTAAATAATGCTCATGAGTGTTATTATGCTAAAATATGGTAGTTGTTTTAATTTAAACAGTATAAAATATTTTAACTAAATTTTATTTTATAGGCTTTTGAAGTATGCAAGAATTGGATTTGTATGAAGTTACTAAACATTAGAAAAATAAGCATTGGATCAACTAGCAAAGCAGCAAAAATAGCTTTGTTTTCTCATTCAGTATCACTTTCAAATATATTAAATTCAATACTATATAATTGTAACATCTTAGAAACAGATATTTGTGATTTATCAAATAATAAAACCATATTTGTATTTGTAAGTAATTATGAAGGATTAAATATATTAATAAAAATTTAAATATTTTTATTTCCTTTTAACATATTCATATTTGGTTATTTAAATAACAAAGAAATAAAGTTTATTATGATTGAATAATATATGCCATTACAAATATAAATATCTATTCCTAGTACATAGGCCGGCTCTAGAGATAGCAATAGTCTCACAGTAATTATTAGTTGACTTTGAGCAAGATTTTTAAAATTGGCATTTTTAACCAGTGTTAAATTAATAAGTTATAGAAAATTTATTTTTTTATAATAGTATCTAATAAAAGTTTATCAGTCTTAGCATTAGTTTTTGAGTAATTTAGATAGTACCGATTAAGAACTGAACAGTGTAAAAGAAAATTTAGCTAATAATCAGTCCCAAAAACTAATACTAAAACTGATAAACTTTTTATTAGATACTGTAGAGCGCTGCATACAGTAGTATGCATGACAAATAATTTAGATCAATTTAGATAAATTTTTTAAAATATTATTTATATGACTATGTGATATAAAATACGTGGAGTTTTAATTTTTTACTGTTTAAAAAATTGTGTCCACTAGGTACTGTATGCAGCACTCTACGGTACTATTATAAAAAAATAAGTTTTTTACAATTTTATTTATTAATTGAACACTAGTTATAAATGCCAATATTTTACAAATCTTGCTCAAAGTTGGCTAATAATTACTGTGAGACTATTGCAATTCCTACTAATACTGTCTGTGCCTAAATGAACAAAAGTTTAGAAACTATTAAAGACATGGGTATAAACTACCTGGCACCATTAAGGATATAGACACAAAGTGTCAGCATGTTATCTAGCAAAAGAATGTATTTAACACAAGATGCTGAGCAAAATACAAACAATGCAAAATAAACAATAAAATTTCTGTGCCTATTCCATGCCTGTACAATTTGTTTCTCAACATTTTGTGATAAAATTATGTAAAACCCAATACAGCGAGACCTCTCTAAGTGCACTCTCTTAAGACTACACTTTAATAATGTTCATATAGATAATAATAAGAAAAAGTGCATTTATAGAAGTAAAGTATATATTTGGGCCAGCACTTGAGTGTGCATTTAGAGAGGGTATGAACTTATAGAGGGTGCACTATCAAAATTTTTTTTGAAAATTGAAAAAATTGAAAATTTAATTTACAATAATAATGTATATTTAAAGTTTAATTTAAGATAAAACTTATTGTCACAAAATAACAGGCATGAATATTATTTAAAATAATGTCTGAAATTTATTATTAAAAAAAAAAAAAAAAAAAAAAAAAAAAATTAAACCTAGACTCATTAAATTAAAATCAGTTTTTTAATTCAATAATACATTACAAAAATTTTTCTAATTTTTTTTTTTTATGGTTTTTGAAGAATTCCATGTTATTCATGAGCCACTTAATCAAATTGGTCGTGCTTATGTGACCAAAAACTTGAATTTTTGAATCAAATTCTATTACCTAAAAACCTACTAATCCTATCATATTATTTCTCTACTCTTAATAAAATTTCGTCTCCTCATGATAATAAAACACATATCTTGAGAGTTTTTGTAAAAGATCATACATCCAACTTTTTAGAAGCATTTGAAGAAAATTTAGAAGAAAATCTATTAGGATCTAAGGAAATTCTTTCAAAATTTAAACATATATTTATAATTAGAAATCTATAAAGTCATTTTACAAAGCTGCAAATTCTACATATAAAGCTTGAAATGAAGCCTGTGTACCTAATTCTGAAAGATATAATATTTTTTTCTAAAAAAGTTTGGCTCAAAGATTCAAAGATTCTTATAACTTAATTAAGAACACAACTGGAGAGAAGATATTATTAGTAGACACTGATGATTTAGTTCGAGAACTAGAAAAAATTTTGAGAAAATATTGAGATGGCCAACATAGAGTTTAAGAAAGAAATGTTTGAATAGAAAAAAGAACAGAATATTTAAAAATAAATTTCATAAATTTGTAAATTAAATTTGCACAAAAATATATAAAATTATATAATTTTATTATATAATTATGTCAAAAGAGTACACAAAAATATGTTCTCAAGATATCGCATTTATTGTGAATTCAGAAATGAATAGCTGCTAATACCTCAGATCAATATTTAGAAATATTTATTCTATTCTCAAAATTACTGATGAAATCTGTAAACTAATAGTTATTAATAATATAAATTATACTATGAAAAATAATAACAGAGATTTTTTATCAAAGTTAATGTCCTCACTGTGTTGCTATACAGCACTATTAACATTATCTCTTAGAACCTTCAGACTTCGATCAATGAGGACCTACATACAAATATATAAAAATGATAGAAATAAAATTGTATAAAAAAGTAATTAACAAAGCTATCACTCTACTAATTAAAATTTTAAGCTTATAATAATCTGTAATACAGAATGAAACTTTAATTGTAAAGATTTCTTGTATTTAACATATTGATCAATAGATATCATTCTTTTAATCACAATATCAAACTCTTCTGTTGATGCTCCAAAAATTTGAAAATTTTTAGATAATAAATGTCCTTTTTTTTCTCTTGAGCAACAATATAATTTATATTATTTCACATTTATCTACTTAATTTGGTAAAGTCAGTTTTGATCTTTTTCTGAATCTTATTTGTCAGGCTTTCCGCAACCTCTAAAGTGAAGATTTCATAATTCGAATAATTTTGCACAGTAAAATCTGGTCTAGTTACATTGCGGAATCTTGAGAATTTTGGAGTTTATTATATTTTGAAATATTGATGCTGAATCTCTATAAAGAAATTTTGATATAATTTCTGATATAATTGTAGAGTAATAGAATATACATTACTTACTAACTAGTATAAAAACCATCAATATCTGCCAATATATCGATACATGATTCTAAAATCTTTGTACAAAATTTTAATTCAGACATTTTTAATAAAAAAAAATCTCTCTTTGAAATTTTTTAAGACTAATTTAATTTATTATTTCAATAAATCAGAGAATTTGAAAGGTCAACGTTTCTAACTATTAGATTAATTTTACAAGTTTTTTAATAATAAGATCTATATAAGACATTACAATATTTGTACGGTATAAAAATGAAAGTAATTTGGTGTTCTTTTAAATTTTAATTTTTAAATTTACTAATTTTCATTTAAATTCCACTTCTTTGAATATATTTTTAGCATTAAGAGTCTAAATAATATTATAAATAAATTAAATTATTAAATCAAAACAAGAAAAAGGAGCATATTCATATTACTCTTTACTTTTAAAAATAGAAAATATATTATCTAAATATTCATTAACCTTTTTGTCTAATTTTATATTTACAGATAGAAACAAATTGCTCAAAAAATGAATTTTATTATTTTTCAATAAATTATTTAATTAATTAATATCCAAAATATAGTCCTTAATAAATCTTTTTTTGGAAAAAATTAGAAAATTAAATAATTAACAAACATTTATATATATCAATAGGTACCTATCATTTTCTGTCTTTTTATGTAAATTGCTCTATAAATTAAAGATAATAGTGTTTTGCTTTGAAGGAATAACAACAGTTACAGAAAAATAGTCATTTAAAATATAGCTTGCTTTTTTATAGCATCTAACAGGGTAGTTTTTATTTTTACTAATTGCTTTCAAGGATTTTATTCAAATATTTTCATTACATTTTTCAGCTGTCAAGTAATTGAGAAATTCATTATAACTTTAATCATTTATATTAAATTTTTTATAATATTTATTCACTTCTGGCATTCTAAAAATAAAGAAAACATAGTAAGAATAATGCATATGAACTATGATTTCTATTAAATTATTTACATAATTTTCTTAGCAATTAACTAATAAACTATTGCACAGCGTTCTTTGAGCTCAACTAAACTGCTGCATAATGTTTTTTGAATTTTTAGACGAATCGAACGATAGACTACTAAACTAATATACAGTGTTATTTAAACTGCTACATAATGTTTCTTAGTTTAATGGACTAAGCATCAAATAATATCAAATAATAAACATCATTGGATAATTATATAGCTCAATCTCTAAATAAGTTTTTACCTAACAAATATAATACTTCATATGTAAATTACCCATATTGATATAGATATAGATATATATATATTTGAAATATTTTCAGGAAATAATAAAAAACAAGAACTATGCATGTTTTTTTCAATTTTTATTTGAAAGAGAAATGAAGATTTCCATACTTATCATTATGTACCTATATATCAGATTAAGAGATCTACAATCATTTAATTCAAATTTAGTTATCAATATCAATATCGATTACGTATACGTTTATTTATACAAAAACCATATCAGTATAATTTAATTTTTTTTTATCACTTAAAAGGTTCTGACTATTTTACTTCAATAATTGATAGTTAGCATTTCGGTGTACTACTGGTAGTATATTGTACTACATTGTGACAGTTTTTAAAGCAAATTTCTAGAAATTTAAAATATAAACTATCATTTTAAATAATCTAATTAGCATTCATAACATGTATCAATTGTTAAAATAGCTTTAACTACTATTTCTGATTTTATATTATTTTTTTTGTCTAGAAAATTTAATAAAATTAAATTTTTATATAGTATTTACTAGTTACCTTATAAGCTTTAAACACTATTTAAAAATTATTTTATTATATAATTTTTTTAAATTTTTAATAAAAATTATAAAAATAAGTATTCTAATTATAATAAAAAAAAATTATTAAAATTGGTATAATATATAACAAATAATTTCAATTTAAAATTTTTACTAACTTTTACTAGTAAATATTTGTTTAGATTTTATATATAAAAATTAGATAAAATTTTTTAAATTTTAAAGTTATATAAGTTTTGATAAATTTGTTTATCTTTATAAATTTTAATAAATTAAAATTAAATAATAAATCTCTACTACTTTTATTAATAATTTTAAAAATTATAGAAAAATTAAATAGATTTTTTAAATAATTTAGAAATAAATTAATTATGAAAATTTCTAATTTATTAGTTAGTGAGCATAAAATTGACTTATAAAATAGAGATTTATTTTGTAATAATTTATAACTCTCTAATAAATTTATATGAATATATTATTAGTATATAAGTATTAAAATTATATTATAAATTTAAATTTTATAAACATCTATATAAAAATTTTTTTTTTTAATAATAATATATAACTAAATTATTAGGCAGTAAGTGCAAAAATTTATAAATTGAATTTTATAATTATCTAGTATTAAATAAAATTTCTCTAATAATTATAGTTAAATTATTTTTTAGATAGTAAGCATAATAATTTTTTTTTTTTAGTATTAAGATGACCTCTTTGGCAATGGAGACATTTAATTAGGTAATCGTTAATATTTTACAATTATGATAAAAATACAACTAGCTGCATATGCAACTTTTGGTTATCTAATTTAAGTAGTCTACCTGAAGGTTTTATACTAGCTGCCATGCTTATAGCCTAACTAGAAAGCTTTCTATTTAAACTTTTTAGTTACAACTATTGGTTTCTTCTTACCTAACTCACTATTTATATGTAGATTTTGCAATATCTTTAGATTTTGCACCCAACTATAGAACTAGTTTATCCTCAAGATAAAACTAATAGAGTGGTCTATATCTCACACATGTTTTTGCCTACATGTTCAGTAACTTCTTTACAATTAGTACCTGTAGTACTGTCACTATCAATTCTGTATCTCAAGCTATCTTTTGTAATTCTATTATAATATGGTCTATATTTCAAGTTACAACCTTTCTAATTGGTTTTCTATTACTTATTCTGCTCTTGTAAGGTTTGGTATTTAGACCCAGATACACATTTTTTGTCTTTTTTATAAGCTGTATTTTTGGTTTTCTTAGACTACCAATCTAGTTAGCCCAGAAGGGTTGGTCTGCATAGGCACTAGGTGCCTCACAGTTTTTTTCTCTTAGTACATACTTCTAAAGCACATATCCTTTTCCTTTAGTATAACTCTGGCATAGTATTCCTATTGAACTGAACTGGGTCAAACTTTAATAAAGTTTGAGTTTGATTTGAATTTCAAACCAAACTTAAACTCAAACTTTTTTTAAGCCTAAGTTCAGTTTGAGTTTGATTTACAACCATTTTTATAGTCCAGCTTGATTTGAAGTTTGGTCCAAAGTTTGCAAACTTGTTCAGGTTCAGTAGAATTAAATTAAAACTTTTTAAAGTTAGGCTTACTTTTATTCATGAATGACAATATCACACAGCTATTTATATTTATCACTAACTATATTTAATAATGTTAATGTTTGAAAAGGCATTTAATGTTTTAAAGAATAAATACTTTAATATATACGACCATTTTTTTTATTAAATATTCTCATATTCTAAATATAAGAAAAGCTAACATATAAAAAAAGTCAAGCCAAAACTAGTTACATAATAATAAATTTACTTGATATATACCTGCTGATTTTTTTCAAGTTGACAAAAGTCAACAGATCAAAAAGATAGCTAAGTAAGGATAAGCTGGAAGTGATCTGATCAAGCCCAGAAGCACAGCCACCAACCTAATCAGTCAAAAAGGTAAGTACAAATTATTAGTAATTTCAATTAATTGTCTAATCAGGCAACTGTCTAATTACTAAACAATTGCCCATTGTTAAAACATGACATAAGAAGAAGCATGATCCAGAAGATCTGCATCATCATCTGCAAAAAATTAAGCTTTGCATCCAAACCTTCCCAACCTGTATAGAATCCTGCTATTTTATAGCAACTTAAAGCTTCAATTCAAGGCCGGCCTGCTTTATGCAGTATGAGAGACCACCAGTTGATACAACACATCGCAATTTTAGCTGATAATGGCAATACCTGGTGCAATTATGTTTCTATTTCTGGGAGCATATCTGTCTCAGTTTATTCATCAATCGCACTGATATATGCTACATTTTTCAATAAAAAATTATATAATAAAGTTTAATATCTAGCATCGTTAGCTCGAGGCATCCAATTTACAATACTTATCATATATGTGCAATGCTTTTCGCTAATCTTAATCAAGATTTATCTATATATATATATTATTTCATTTATTATTATTAATATAATAACAGGTTTATCAAGTTGGAAGTAATGTAATATTATTAGCAGCATATGCTTATTCAGTACATATAAAAGATTAACAGTAAAGAAAGATCAAATAAGTGTTACAAAGAGAAAACCTGTAATTCAATATCTAATAATGATAAGAATTACAAGTTTTTCCTTTGAGATACTCAAATGTAAATACAAGCCCACCTTTTAAGCAATTATGGTATCATGCAAGATAGATCTGAACAAGTTAGACACAGACAAATAATTTTTTAATTAATGATTTTTATAAAAAATCTAGTTTATAAATCAAAAAAAAAATTAGAGATATATTGTAAAATATATTTTTAAGTAGAATCAGCAATATATATTTAACAATAAAATAAAAAAATTTCTTTGAATACTTAATTGAATATTATGTGAAACCTGACCTTATACGTATAATGATGAGTTTTATAAACCAATTTCAACCTATTCCTTAAACTGTTTTGGGGGCAAATTTGCTCCAAATTTTAAAAATTTTTATAAATTTTAATAAAATTTTGAATATTAATTTTAAACACATATTAATTATATAAAAATTATAGTTTAAGATATGCTTTA